TAGGAGATCTGGTAAACATATAATTGGATACTGGCGTACTGAATAACCATAAATTTGCTAACTGAAGGACTGTATAACTGGTAACTGAGGTAAACTGATAACCATAAGGCATGATAACTGCTTTTGTACTTTCTGATAAGGTTATGCTCTAATCTGTACTACTATCCATTGCATCCCACTTTTAACATTCTCTAAAGTCTCATATTTACCAACCTGTACTCCATAATTATACCCCAATGGGCAATTATCCTCTCTAGGACCTTAGGTTTCTCCTGTGCGTCGCTTGGACATCCAATACGTTTGGAATTCGATAGGAAGAGAAGATTACCTATTGCTCTAAGTTTCATGGCACGATCTAGAGTAGAAAGAAATGAGCCAATCTTGGATGTCTTGGTAGTTAACCGTTTATATGAGTGGCCGGCACACACATATAAAGGAAACTCCACTAGACACGGCTTCATAGACTCCCTAGGACGCTTGAACCTAGGGCTATGATACCAAGCTTTGTCACGCCCCGAACCTGGGCCTAGACGTAACACGGCACTCGGTGCCTGACTACATGTGACCGAGCGAACCAACTGGCTGGCTGAATTAACATGGGGTATCATAACATACTGAATGCGGAAGATAAACTAACACATGCTGATATACTGAAATTTTGGATTATATAAATCAAAGTGTGGAAATACTAATACAATTCTGAAATATATTTGTAGCCCACATGGCATAATATGAAAAGCCTGCGAGTCTTTCTAGCTGTTACTCTAGTCTATGAATCCTCTAAAAACACTGACTGTCTGAAAATACTGAAGACTGTAAGGTAATGATAATGCCCCGAAAGAACTGGGGATCACCAAATAGCTGGTACAAGAATCCTAGCGCTTTGAATCATCAACCTGTAAATCATTACCTGCATCGTGAGATGCATGCCCCGGGCAAAAAGGGACGTCAGTACATTTGAATTGCACTGGTATGTAAAGCAACTGAAAGAAAGAATTATAAATGTTGAAGCTAAAACTAAGCTGATAACTGAGAATTTATAATTGATAACTGAAATGATAACTATTGAAACTGAAACTGAAATGACAACTGATAACTGATAACTGATAACTGAAAGATAAAGGAAGTAAGGATATGAATACTCCTTCTTCTGAATGATGAACAACCTGTTTATCTGAATAAATAAGCTGCGGCCTCAGGCCCAATATATATGTGCACAAACTGCAGCCTCGGGCCCAAGTATACGTATACATAACTGCGACCTCAGGTCCAAAATGCATAAAGCATAAACTGCAGCCTCAGGCCCAAAGATGCATAAAGCATAAACTGCGGCCTCAGGCCCAAATATAGGTGTTCAACATTCAGGAACTGAGAATCAAACTGCAATACATGATAATGAGATACTGAATCACACTAAGTCACATGATACTAGAATACTGGATCACAATGAGTTACATAATACTGGAATACTGGATCACACTGAGTTACATAATACTGGAATACTGAATGGGATTAGACTGAGACATGTATTCTTGAACTGATTATGAACACTGAAACTTCAACTGTTTATGGCATACTGGGTAATGTATACTAAGACTCGGGGGCATCAAACCCAAGTCTATATTGAGTACGCACTAAGCTCACAACGTTCAGAATAAAAGTGGTGAACGAGTTATGAAGCTAGAGAATAGAAGTTCTACAACTATCCAAGAAACTAGGCTTAACTATATTTCTGAGGCAATTGGTAACGTCGTAAAAGAAACGTAGTGTAGGGAGAATCATTAAAATTCCCAAACATAGAGAGTTAGCCACACATACCTTAACTTCCTGCTCTTAAGCGTAATACAACATTCGCCAACCCATTCAACTTTAATCTATATCAATACAAGTCAAAAGGATATCATATTAGCAATAATTCTCATGTTTTAGTTGCTTAAGCATTTTCTAAAACACTTGGTGACATAAAGCTTCATAGTCCGCATTAATGGTGTCTCTACACCCAATAACCCATTCTCTTGTTCCTAGATAAATTCTATAGTCTCAAATTGTTATAATCAACATTATTCTTTATCACCCATAAGGTAATCAACACCCATAACCAATAATAACCAATCAACAACCCAAACCTATCACCGTTCATGTTTTTCTATCAAACCCATCAACTCATATATCATGAAATAGAGTCTATTATCATTAATTCAATAATAGAATCAATTAGAGGGTGAAGATATTACCCTGTTGACGTTCAATCTTCTTTAATTCGATTTCTAGGGTTTCTTCTCTCAACAATGGTGTCCCAATAGAATATCTAATGATATGGAGGGTTTACCCATGTTAATAAGATGTTGGGAAATTGAAATTAACATAGAATCACCATTAGAACTTACCTTGGGTGGTGGAAGGACCATTAAGGAGTTAGGTTTTTGAGAGTTTTCCTTTCTAGAGCAAGTTTTTATGTTTTGGGGCTATGGGGGATGAAATAAGGCTAAAAAAACGACTTCCCAAGTCGTCCATTGCGTCCCAATTGGCGCGACCACGGTAAATCGCTGGGACACTGCCTCGCCACCGCGGTCGCGGTGAAAATGCGGCAGGACCGTGGTGGTTACATTCCTTTCTGTAAAACGGGCATAACGTTTTGCGCAGAGCTCCGTTTGGGCTCCACAATATATTGTTGGAAAGCTATTTCAAAGGCCTACAACTTTCATGCTTTGTGTTTTCCCAAATTCCTTACACAATTTCACTAAATCCTGGTGGAAGATAGACCTTCTGCAAACTTAGTCGATTTTATCAAATCTTATTCACCTCACTTTCCATCTTTATTTTGAAACAACTATTCTCGCCCATAATCATCCCGATAGGACTTCACATGTCCAAAATATAACCTTACTACTCCTTTAACTCATTCATACCTAAGCCGAACGTACGGGGTGTTACATTGCTGTAACTATAAGGAACATTCAAATGAGAGTATTTGGCTACTATGTAAACAAAATATTGAGGTTCAGGTGCTGGTGATAGATGAACAGTTTATTCACTTTGAGGTACAAGAAAGAAGCTCCAATTTTAAGACTCTGGTAACTGTAGTGTATGCAAGCAATGAGATAAATAAAAGGCAGCAGTTGTGGGGTAAACTTATGCAATTAGGAGCAAACATTAAAGTGTGTTGGTTACTTAGTGGAGACTTCAACAATGTCCTCCACACTGAGGACAGGATAGGGGCTCCAGTTACACAAAGTGAGATTAAGGGCTTCCAGGATGTGATTCTTACTTTGCAACTCAC